TCTAGTACTCTAGATATACTTTACTAGAGCAAAAGACAAGAGCTAAAATTAGTATAAGTATTATAAGTCTAGTAACTAAAATAAATAAAATAGTAAAGGCTGCAGCTTAAGCTATTCTTTTAGTTTAATAAATAACTCTTTTACTTATTCTCTATAAAGAGGCTAAGCTTCTACTAGTAACTCTTATAATAAAATATATTAAAATCTTCTTTATAGTTTAATTATAGTAGCTTAATAAGAATTACCTTCTTACTATTAAAGTAGACTTATAAATCTTTAGTAGCTTAAACTACTAAAGGTTTTAATAACTATTAAGATTTTAGTAATACTAAAATCTTCTTTTATACTGCCTCTACTTTAAACTTCTAGAGAAGAGCAAGCCTTTAAAGCTTATAAAAGACTTAAAAGATAAAACTAAAGATATAAATAAACTACTTAAATAAATAAAGTCTCTTAACTTTATAAACTTAGTAGTATACTTTAATAGCTTTAGACTTTAAAATAAAGTTTATAGCTAGAAATATACTATCTTCTAAAATAATACTAAGATTTTCTTTAGTAATAAATAAATTAACTAAGTAGAAGTCTTTAATATAAAAGTAGTAAAAGCTCTTTAAAAGCTTTATATTGCTCTACTTTATAAAATAAGCTTTAATAATAAAATTAAAGTTCTTCTAAATAATTAAGCTATAGTAACTTGCTTTACTAGTATCTCTTTAAATAGTTTCTAGAATATCTTTATAGAATTTAAAGAACTAGCTTTAAAGAATAGTAAAGTATTTATTTACTAAATCTCTAGCTACTTTAATATTCTAAGTAATAAGTAAGTAAACTAGCTTACTAAGAAGAGTGCTTAACTCTTAGAATTAGCTTCTACTCTTTTAATCTTTACTTATATTAAGTATAAAGTAAAGAAAAATACTACTAAATAGTTCTAAGAATAAAGAGAAGCTTACTTTCTCTCTATCTACTAACTACTAAAGCTTAAAGCTAAGATAAGTAATCTTTATAAACTTATCTTTATAAGAGAGAATTTAGTATACTTACTTACAGCTAGAATAAAGTATAAAGACTTTATAGCTTACTATAATAAGTTTAGCTATATTACTAATTACTACTATTTCTATAGTAGAAAAAAGCACTAAACCTACTTCTTTTATTACTATAAAATACTACTAAGAAGAAGAGTTCTACTAAAACTCTTCTCTAAGGCAGCTATTAAGCTAGCTCTTACTTTAGACTTTAAGTACTTTACTACTTTTATTAAAAATATATCTTTCTTTAGTAAAATATACTTTAGATAAAAATAGTATACTAAAAGGCTAGAAGTATTATTTTTATTTCTCTCTTTATATATACTTTCTTTTTTTTATACTAACTATAAGCTAATGCCTACTTATAATAATACTTAGCTATTTAGAAGAATAAGCTTATAACTATACTTTAAGCTCTCTATAAGTACCTACTAATAGAGAAAGAAGAATAAAATATCTCTACTATTCTAGAAAAGAGAACAGCTAAGAGCTGCTATATATACCTAGTATAGCAATAGCACGCCTAATGCTCCGACTGGAGCGGGGATTAACCCCAACTAAGGCGTTAAATATACACACACACACACACACCCCCGGTCGAGCGTACATAATGAGATTTCAAATAAACGACTGGCCCGGTTGGTTGATGTACACAGATATGCGGTAGTAGGTGACTGTCTGGGCTGTGATTCCGTCCCCCAACCCTAACCCACGTCCAACGAGCGCAGCTGATTACTCTGGAGTCTGCAGGCCATCCAAGATTGAGACCCGACGACATGGCCAGAGCTGCTGGTCTCGATGCTACCAGATGCAACCAGAGAATAAATCATGTCACGACTGTACACATTGCAAGTCGACCCAGCATGATGTCAGGACTGGGAATGTTGGCCATTGACAATTCGTATTCGAGACTGCCCACGCTCCCTCCCCCGCTAGGGCTTGTGGGATGCTAGAAGAAGCTTTCCCAAGTGAACTTGGTTTTGGCCCGCGGATGCAGAACATGGAGTACTTCTGTAGCCGAGTCATTGACCGGGCAAGACATTTCTTCCAAATTCATTTCGCCAGGAGCGGATTTTGATTCAGTTGTGCTTCCGTCATTGATGAGTGTGGCGTTGCTGAAAACCAAAAAGAGGACATGAGCATCACTCGGCGTTTATAACATGCCAATCACAACCACTGCACAGAGTAACGCAGCATTTCTTCACCCAAGAAATCGCCCGTTACTCCTTGACGAGCCGTATACCAGACCACCCCAAGGGCCTGGATACCACCCTGAGCCGGCGAGCGAGAATTTCCCTGCCAGGCGACATTCTTCTATTTTGTCCAGCAGCATGTGGCGCGGGAAAAGAAAGACATGGTTGCAGATCATGACACACAGCTGTCCGTGCTCATTTGGTCGCCCTCACACACGCGCGGCGCCACGTGTAGCTTAAAATCATGCCGTCCCGTCAGGATGCCGCTAGTTCTATCAGTCACCCTAGAATTTGGCCATGCTTGCTTCTTTGGTGCCACGTCTGGTCACGAATTGCAAAGCCACAACCACCATCATCTGCAAAAGCCTGATGGGCATCGAGGCTACTCTCAGATTCTCCTAGGGCCCCAGGATGGCCGCCAGAAGCCAAACGACCTCTACCCAAGCGCAAATCGACATAAACCCCGACTTGGTCACTCTCCATCCTACGGATAATAGGGTCGATGTGTTGCGATTCCCAGCCCCGTGGCAGCAGGACGAGGCGAACACAACAACCATTGCAAAATCCACCTTCTCTATTCAAGGTCTCACGGAAAGCAGTTCTCGGGCTTCACACAGCCCATTTCCTCCAGACCTAGCACCTCAGAAAGACACCCTGAATATTGTGGCAAATCGAGTGCCTGCGCAATGTGAGGGCAATGGTGTAGCACATGTATTACCTCCACGGCTGTTCAATGCCGCTATGTGCCGAAATCAGACGCGTGAGAGTCTAGTTCCGGGAGACCTGGACGACTTGTTTTATGGCAATCCACGGCGGGAAACGGAGATACATTGGCCTTTCGAAGAATCGTCATCAACGAACGAGTCAGGTGGCCTGCCGGCAATTGGCTCTGCATCCGCCCTAAACACCGTGAATCAGAACTGTCCGTCAGGGCTACCGAGGGACGAGCCATCCGACGCCGAGTGCGTTTGGATGTCGGACTGCTCAGAAACAGCTCCCATTCTAGAAGAGAGACACACTTTTCTACCCGTCAAATCAAGAGTAGTCAGAGATGCCCTGGTGCGATTTGACCATTGGCGGATACGTTGGGCCGATAGGCATATACGGCATGTTCCGGCTCAAAAGGGCTCTGCCCAGCAAAGAGCGTCCGGTTCTCACGACCATCCCCCTTCCTGTGGAAGGACCAATGACACCAAGTCTGGGGAGAGGCGCCCAGGCCACATCTCGGAGGGAGCTGCGACCAAGGGAGACGATGTTAAGCCGGGCCTTCAAAAGCACGCTCCCAGGTGGCCCGATGGACATGCAAGTCAACAAGGGCTTGGTAGACATGCCGTCCTCTCCCCGCGTTGGCCCGCCCATATGCCGAGAAAGATGCGATAAAAAGCCTCAAGACGGACTTGACGGACAGAGCAATACGTGAAGCAGTGGTGAAACCTTTTCAGACCGAGAAAGTGAGTAAGGTCATGTTATACAGCCCTGTACTACTACTGCTCAAACTGGGGGAGCCTCCAGCAGTCTAAGTTGTTTATTTTTACTTTCATTTCATTTTTTTTTTTTCATCTCCCATCACACTGAATGCCCCTTTATACTTTTGCTCGAGCCCGCAGGGAGTGCCCTGGAGCCCCAAGAAGTAGCTCAGAAACCCCAGGGGCTTGTGGTTGCTGGGGCATTTGCCTACGCTCATTTTTTATTTTTTGCCTTCGTCAATACCAAGCTGAATTTAGAGTCGAAACCGAGGTTATGTGTCTTGGGGGGATTTCTATTACGAACATGATTGGGGGGGACCAATTGATGCAGAGCGGAAAGGCCGATCCGATTTGACTTGAAGAGCAAAGGCAGGTCAGAGCACACCGACTCGAGGGTTACAGGAAGTACACAATATCATGGTTGGATAGTTTCGGCAGTGGGGGCTTGATCATTGATGTATGTATTGGGATCAAATTTACGTTTTTGCCTACTACAGAAGCTGGAGTTGAAAGCTTCTCTTTTTACTATGCAGTCATTCTCCCCCATCACCTGTCGCCCGTCTCCGTGATTGTCAGGCGTTTAGATTTGATTCCCGACAGTGCTGCTGCGTCGCCCCGTGACGCGGTCTGAGTGGACACATGAAGCGGCCAGAGTCGGCCACCAGTACCTGCGCGGAGAAGCCGCACGGGGTATTTGCACGTTGTTTTCGGGCAATGCGCGATGCTAGCGCTCGTGCAAATGATTGTCTACGGAATAACATGCACACTGACAGCAACTCACTCCTTCATCCGGTGCACTTGCTTTGTGGGGGGGGAAACACAGAGGGCAATGGAGCACGAGTAGCTTGAACTTGAGTACTTAACAAGGAGAGTAGGTACCTAAGTAAGCTAAGTACTGGAGTAGGCAATAATCTGGCAAGTACCAAGTACAAGCACCCCGTGTGCAGGCAGGCAGTTAGTCTCGTCACCCGCACAACACCAAATCGAAAGCCGTCCCTCCACTCTCACTCACTCTTCCCCCCCCCCTGGTGCGTGCTCCAAGCGCCGAGTCTGGTTGTTGTCTGCCTTCCATCTCCTTTCGTTTCCTTCAATATTACTTACTTCTAATCCCCTGGCCTATTCTCGAGTTTAGACCCAGACCCAGCGGACACAGGGTCGTAGCCCAGGACCTCCTGTGCCCTCCCATCCGTGCTACATGACCTAGATATTTTGCCTTTTTTTTTCCCATCCGTGATTTTCATTTCCCTCCTTTCCTCTCCTTGGTCATATTAAGCTGATACACCAGGTCGCAGTACCTCAGCGCCATAATGTCTAGATATTCGCTGCGCCAGACGCCCAGGTACGTGAAGAAGAACCCCAACGGGAGAGGGTGCCGGATCGATTGACTCGCCAATTCACCTCGGCCTCCGGTCCTGCTCACGGAAACCTCGTCATGAACGAACTCGGGCTAATTGGGCATGCAGAAAGAAGGAACTCTTCAAAGGTATGGTGGAGACACCCACTGCGTCGCGACGGTCATCGCGTCGTCAGTCCTCGTTCCCTCCTGAGCTACTATCCGACCCCGACAACGAGTCCAGCTCGGCCAGCGACATGCCCACGCGCTCTCGATCTTTGCGCCGACGCACTGCCAAGCTCACCGAAGGGGACGAGCAGGCAAAGGCCCACACCAATGGCAAACCTGTCAAGGAGGACGAGGTTGCTGCTTCCAATGGCGCCCCTGACAAGTCGGCCCCGAAATCGACTCCCAAGAAGCAGGCTGCGCCAAAGTCAGCCGAGGCCGGCGTCATTGACGGATGGCGCGAGGGCCAGGACCCCAAGGTTGACTACTCTGGCGAGTTCGAGTTCGGCGGTTCTGTTGGCACTCTGGCCATGATGATCCTGTTCCCGCTTCTGATGTGGTACATGTGGATTGGGGCTACCTACTACAATGGCAAGCTCCCTTCCAGAGCTCCTGGCCAGACTTGGGCTTCCTTTGGAGCTCAGCTCGTCAACTACGTGTACACTGGCGCATTCCCTCACGCAAAAGCTTGGTTCTGGTATTGGTCCTATCTCGTCTTCCAGGGTGCTTGCTACTGCTTGCTCCCCGGTGTCTGGGGCTGGGGCAAGCCGCTTCCTCACGAGGGGGGCAAGCAGCTCAAGTACTACTGCAACGCCTTCGTCACGCTCTACTTTACACTTGCCGCCCTGGCCATGCTGCACTTCACCGGCATCTGGCCGCTATACAACGCCATTGATGAATTTGGTCCCCTCCTGTCTGTTGCCATCCTGAGCGGCTTTCTCGTCAGCTTTGCGGCTTATCTCTCCGCCCTCTACCGCGGAAAGGAACACCGCATGACGGGCTACCCCATCTATGACTTTTTCATGGGAGCCGAGCTGAACCCCCGCATTTTTGACGTGCTGGACTTCAAGATGTTTTGCGAAGTTCGCATGCCGTGGTACTTCCTCCTCATTCTCAGCCTGGGCGCCGCCGCACGCCAATGGGAGCGCTACGGCTACGTCTCCGGCGAAGTCATGTTCCTCGTCATGGCCCACTACCTCTACGCCAATGCCTGCGCCAAGGGTGAGGAGCTCATCATCACCACCTGGGACATGTACTACGAGAAGTGGGGGTTCATGCTCATCTTCTGGAACCTCGCCGGGGTGCCGCTGTCCTACTGCCACTGCACCATCTACCTTGCCAACCACGATCCGTCCGAGTACCACTGGAACCGCTGGTTCCTAGCTTTCATGTACATTGCCTACCTGTTCTGGTACTGGGTCTGGGACAGCTGCAACAGTCAGAAGAACCGGTTCCGCGCAATGGAGCGCGGAAAGATGGTGGCCCGCAGGACCTTCCCTCAGGTTCCGTGGCAGACACTGCAGAATCCCCAGACCATCGTGACTCCCAACGGTACCATCCTCGTCGACGGCTGGTACGGTCTTGCCCGCAAGATTCACTACACCGCCGACGTGTGGTTCGCCATATCCTGGGGCTTGATCACCGGATTCGAGTCAGTCCCCCCCCTCGCCCGCCCTGCAAAGTCTAACGCGTCAACAGGAGTCCGTTTCCTTGGTTCTACCCAGTCTTTTTCTGCTGCATGATAGCGCACCGCGCCGCGCGAGACATTCACCGCTGCCGCAACAAGTACGGCGAGCACTGGCTTGAATATGAACGACAGGTGCCCTATCTCTTTATTCCTGTGAGTCCCTGTTTCCCTTTGTCTTTCCACGGCGTTGCGCCAGCTGATGCCGTCCAGTACGTAATTTAGATGCTGTGTCTCGGAGGCGCATCCTGCTTTCGAAAGCGCAGCTTTTGCAATACAAGAGCCATCTTGGAAGAGGAGAATTCCATAGTTCTCGCGTAGATATTCAGCTTCACAAACATAATAGATTTGGCTAGAGGTGGAAAAGTATACGTGTTACGGGTTGTTGGGAGGCTGGGAATTCATCCTGGGGAGGCGTCCAGAGGGGTCTACTCACCTTTTTCTTTTTCCTTTTTTTTTTAATTGTCTACAAGACCTCACTAGTATCAAGGTACCTGGGAAAACTCGCCGTCTCTGCGCCAGGTATACAATGATGGTGCATATACGAATCCATTGCAACTCAAATTGCAACATCTTGACGAGACAGATTTCCCAGTTGCACACATGTATCTAACCTGAGACGAGGCAAACAAGGGAAATTTCGTGTTGTAAAGCATGATATGCGCAACAGAGACTAAACTGGATAGATTCTCCATCACTGCCACTGTCTATAATGAAAACCTACCGAGGCCAAACTTCGTCCGCAACTAGTGTACATGTACGACCTCCATTGTGATGACCCATCCCCGTCCCGTCACCCGCTTTTAAAAATCATGTTCTGCTAGCGGTCAAATAGTCAGTTGCACAACCCCCCGCGAGCTGGAGATGCCATAGACCTGCTCGCTTTGAGACTGGTGTGTGCCGATCCATGCCAGGGACGGCGTCTCCTGATGTTGAGTTCAATTTGTCGGATCGCCTTTCGAAGCATGTCATGCCGCTTACTGGCACACAGTGTCTTGGGTGGCCTTGGAGTTCATGAGCAGGGCAACGATGAGACCGTACAGACCTGGTGAAGTTGGTTAGTCGACTGTACAAATGCAACATGGCTCCACGATTCTTGCGGCCCAGGACTTACCCAAGACTTCGGCGAAGATGAGAATCAAAATCATGCCAACGAAGAGACGGGGCTGCTGGGCGGTTCCTCGGACACCAGCGTCGCCGACAATACCAATGGCGAAACCAGCGGCAAGGCCGGCAAGGCCGACAGCCAGACCAGCACCAAACTGGATGAAGCCGGTATACAGAGGGAGTTCTTGCTTCAGGCCGTCGGAGATGAGGACAGACACGACCAAACCGTAGATACCAATGATACCAGCCATGATGACGGGAACAATGTCTGAAAAGATGCGTTAGCTCCGGCAATGGCGAGACGAGACGGATGAGATGAGAGCGCACTCTTGACGATCAGGTCAGGGCGGAGGACACCCATGGCAGCGATGCCAACACCAGACTTGGCGGTACCGTATGAAGCACCCAGACAGGTGAATACAATGGCACATGTGCAACCCATGGCGCCGAAGAAGGGCTGTTGACGGTGGTTAGCGCAGGTCGACATTTGACGCGCACGATTGTTGTGCCGGCGCCCCAGGTCAGGGCCAGCAGTGACGTCGGTCGGCGGGCGGACAGAATGCATTGACTAACCGCATAGACGGGGCTACACAAGCATCTTTGTCAGCTCAAAACATGGTCAATTATCGCACGCCTGTCACGTGTATCGAAGGGTTGCAGGCCCAGCGATGCTGGTAGCTTCAAAGAAACGCATCGTGGGAGCTTGCCCCCGTCCAATCGTCACGGCTGGGAGAAAAGCATGGGCGGAGAGAGAGGGCAGGCAGACGTACCAGAGCTCGGAGACCATCTTGGCGGTATTTGGCGTATCAGTGCTAAATAATCGAGGAGGGTAGCGAGCTGGAGTAGATTGCTAGCGTTGAGGTCCAGCAGTTTGATGGCAGGAGAAGCTTCGGTGATGGCTGGCCGTTGTCGTCGGGTTGTGTCGAGGTGCAATGGGGTCGATGGAAGGCTGTCAAGGACAAAGCAAAGACGAGGGTTACGTAATCTCGCCGTGGCCGGGGTGCTCGGTTAAACGCCGGCCCCTGAAGCTTCCCCCCCTGATGGGAGACACGAGCAGGACTCTCAGTGCAATCACTGGTGAGCAACCGTTTTGGAACCCGGAAACATGTCTTTGGCGATTCGGTGACAAGTCTACAGCATTATTCCAATATTCTGCAGCTCGGCCGGGCCTGTCTATGTGGTACTTTGTAGATGACTGGCCTCTCTGAGCGCGCCTTAGTGACACTGTCAAGGTTGTGATGATGACGGACATGTCGCCATCAGTTTCGCCAGTTGCGGCGCCTGCACAAGCTTGAGCTTCACTCAACCAGCTGACCGTCTCCCGGCTCCTGCTTGCGCAAATGGGGTTTTATAAACGGGCGTGTTTCTTGACGATGCTACGAAGTACGGAGTACCTAGGTAGGTAATAGGCCGTGGTCTTCCTCGTCTGCAGTCGGACTCATGTCATGTGACAGATGCATCCATGACGTTCCCGCCGCCACTCGGGCCCGACTCCTGGACGAGACGCAAGATGACGACGGACACCAGCCAGTAGAAAACAAGTGCCGAGTCCATTGCATTCCGCCGTCGATATTGCATAGGGAAGCAGCAAGTCGGGCCTGGCTCCTGCCGCCTGGGCTCCTGCTGCTCCTGTTGCCCTGCTTCGCTCGGCCACGGCGGTCCATCTTCAGTGCCGCTTCTCCACCCTCCAACGCGATCCCCAGTTCAACAAGCTTCCATGTCGGACGCAACGCTCCGCTTCACCCTCGGCTCTCGTCTCTTCTCGTTCTTGCTTCATCCCCACGCCGCATCGTCGGCCCCAGCGGACGCTTTTGTAAACTAGTCGCCTTGAGCAGATTGCCATGCTGCCCTTGTCTCCTCCATCGCTTCTTTTTTTTTTTAATTTGTTTCGTGTTATTCTTCGGGGCCCGTTGTTTGCTGTCTGTGTTCAACTCATGTCGTTTGGCCAGTCTCGCCATCTTGGCATCACATCGCAGCATCATGCCCGGAATTGCCAGGAAGATCATCATATGCGCTGCCATCGATGGTCTCATTCTCCAGCCGCTGTCCACAAAGGGACAACGACCATTCCAGCCCGTCAGGATCGGATATGGCGATGCATCTATTTCAGCAGTTCCACGGGACCAGATACCGGATGCTTCCGCCTCCAACTCATCCTTTGAAGCGTTCGGCATTATTGGTAAGAGTCCGAGCCCCGCTGTTCAGGCTGCCGTGTGCGCGCGTGTCATGTTTTTAACAAGTTCATGCATGCATCAGGCTTAATTACTGTTTCAAGGTTGAGCTACCTCATCACTATTACTCGTCGCCAACAAGTCGCGCAAGTCTTCGGGTTTCCTATTTATCTCGTCACTGGAGTGGCCATTACACCATGCAACACTAAGCAAGAGGCCGATGAGTCCATTCATACGACAGCCAGCCTGCTCAAGGAGCATGCGCCGAGTGACGGAAACGAAGGCTCCGGAAGTAGCGACGAAGACGGAGGGCATCCCTGGCCTCCCCTCGATGAGGTCGAAGATGCAATCAGTGAAGATAGGGCTCCTACTGACTCGTCCCGAAGCAGTGTCATGGAGGATATAATGCGCCGCCGAGGTAGCTACGGCCGCTTTGCTCAGCGTTGGTTCAGTAGCATTGGATGGACAATTGATCAGAGACGAAGCTTGGGCTTGAGCATTGCAGCCACAAGCGTACCTACAACTCCAGAAGCGTCAAGCGGACCGGCCGCATTCAAGATACCACTTGAAGAGGATATGGGTAGTCAAAGTCATGTCACAGCCTTGCTGCCAAAGTTACTGAGGACGATGCAAGTCTTTTTCGGGTCCTCTAGAAGCTTTTACTTCTCCTACGATCTTGACCTCACACGAAGCATCTCCCAACATGCCTGGATTCCCAATCCAGACACACCATTGCACACACAGGTGGATAGCAAGTTCTTCTGGAACAGACACTTACTAAGTGAATTCATGGCAACTGGCCAGGACTCAATAAGTCTCCCCCTAATGCAGGGTTTTATTGGTCAGCGAACATTTGTAGTAGATAGTGACCCTCCTCAGATGGACGAAAGCGCATTCGAGTCTGTGGAACTCGCCGACATGTCTATTTCGGCATCTCTACCGGCATCACCCCCCAGTGGTCGCGATGGGGACCAAGCCGATCTCAGGCCGTCGGCGAGAAAGTGTCTCATCACACTGGTGTCTCGCAGATCAACCCAACGTGCAGGTCTAAGATATCTTCGTAGAGGCATCAACGAGGACGGTTTCGCGGCCAACATGGTGGAAACAGAGCAGATCATCTCGTCGCCTACATGGGACCGTTCCTCGCCAATTCACTCATTTGTACAGATTCGCGGAAGCATTCCACTGTTCTTCACGCAGTCTGCATACTCGCTGAAACCAGTTCCAGTAATACAACACTCCCCGGAAAGCAACTACAGAGCCTGCAGGAGACACTTTGAGAGACTTCTCTCCAACTATGGATCCCTTCAAATCGTCAACCTGGTTGAGAAGCGTGGCGTTGAGGAACCCATTGGAGCACAATACGAGGCAAACATTTCGCGCCTCAACGAAGAGCTAGGCGAGAAGAACAGAATTCCGTTCGAGTGGTTTGACTTTCACCACGCCTGCCGTGGAATGAAGTTTGAGAATGTCAGTCAGCTTCTAGCCAAACTGAGAGGTAGGTTGGGGGAATTGGGCAGCACAACACAAGTCGGCGACGAGATTACTCGGCGACAGGTGGGTGTCATTAGAACCAACTGTATGGATTGTTTGGACCGAACGAACGTGTGTCAGAGTTCTTTTGCAAAGCACATGCTGGATTTGCAACTGAAGGCAGATGGAATAGACATGAGTGCGCAGCCAGACCAAGAGACGAGGTGGTTCAACACTCTCTGGGCAGACAATGGCGACGCCGTCTCCAAGCAGTACGCGTCTACGGCCGCTATGAAGGGCGATTATACGAGGACGAGAAAACGAGACTATCGCGGAGCCTTGAATGACTTGGGACTATCACTGGCGCGATTTTACAGCGGGTAAGTGCGCAATGTTTGCCGCAACGCGAACCAGCGACGTGATCCTAACTGTGGTTTGAAGCATGGTCAACGACTACTTTAGCCAAGCGGCCATGGACTTTCTGCTCGGAACCGCGACAGAAAAAGTCTTTGACGAGTTCGAATCCGACATGATGACGAAAGATCCCGCCATCTCCGTTGCCAAACTGCGCCAGCACGCTGTCGAACTTTGCCAAAAACGGGTGGTTGCCGATATCAACGAAGAGATTCACGGAGGATGGGTACTCATCAGCCCCAACATGGCCGACGTGGTCAGATCCTGGTCCATGGAAGAGGTCGTTGTCCTGTTGACGGACGCCGCTCTATACGTGTGCCGCTTCGACTGGCATCTCGACAAAGTATCCTCCTTTGAACGTGTACACCTCGCCAACGTGACGCACATCAAGTTCGGAACGTACATCACGTCAACCCTCGTCTCGACGCACATGGACGAAGTGAAGAATGTCGGACTTGTCGTATCCTATCAGCCGGGAAAAAGCAACATCAAGAGAACCAACACACGGACGCTCTCAACTAAGGGGTACATTGCGCCGAACTCGGCATCTCAGGGAGAGGCCAAGACGCAGATGGGCCTCGCCAGCTTCTTCTTGCCCAAAGAAAAATCGCCTGCAACTCGGAGGCTGGCGTTTAAAGCGCCATACGTGGATTCTCGGACGGCCGTGTCGGGAACAGGCGGCGCGCAGCAGACGGAGCTACAGCAGGTGGTGACGATATGTGCAGAGATTGAGCGGCTGGCGCCGGAAGCACAGCTGCGCAAGAAGGGAGGGGGTGACGGGAATTTCGTAGAGAAGGGGGACATTATCTCGCTGCAAGAGGCGAAGAAGAACACCGGGTTGCTGGAGCAGTTGGGACATTCGATCAAGAGACTTGTCTGGGCTTAGACGTAGACGTGGTGGGGAGGGATCGCGGAACAGCGCCCAGAAGAAACGTTAGCAGGCATGGACGACTACTCATGGTGAATTCCCGTCATTAAGATTACGTTTATTCCGGCCCTGGCCCCATGCTCGGCGATGTGCTGCGGACAGGTTGGCTTTTTGAAATGCGATAGAGATGCATCTGATAGCGCATGTTCTCCAGCTGAATAGGATACGAGAGTCCCTCGGGAAGCCTAAACCAAGTGGAATCCTCGGACTCTAATCTGTGCCAAGCGTAGCCCGGGGTCTCGGCCTCCAACAAGGTGTGGTTGAGGAGCCACTGCATGGGGTAGCGCCTCTTCCTCTCCCTGCCCAGCGCCGCCTCGGAGTAACTTCCCGGGCTGTCGACGACGAGCAACAAGCTTCCGGCGGGAAGGACGTGTCCCAGATGCCTCAGCAGCGCGGTGGTCTTGCCGATGACGCCCTCGGCGTAGAGCTCATTGAGGGTAAACATGAGCGTGACGATGGACGGGGCCGAGCCGACGTGTTGGGCGAGGGCCTCGGGGCCAAGGCACAAGACGTCGGCCCGGACAAAGGTCATGGCGAGCCGGGACGGGTCGACGAGGGCCACGTCGGCAGCCAGCCGGGCTTGCAGCGCGGAGGCGACGTGCTCCCAGGGCGCGGCGTCGAGGAGCCTGAGGGTGCCGCTGCGCCGGGTGTGCCCGAGGCACGAGGCGAAGGCGACGTGTTCGGCGGCGCAGCCTCCGATGCTGAGCATCCGCAGCGTCGGGCGGGGGTCCGGGGACGCGCCGGGCTCGCAGGGCTCGCGCCGGGCCAGCTGCTCGAGGTGCGTCTCGATGCGGGCGAGGACCGAGGCGTAGCACAGCGCGCGCGTGGGACTCCATCGCGCCGCGTACGCCGCCAGGTGCTCCTCGTTTCTGAAGGCGCGGCCGAAGTCTCTGCTGTACAGGGCTTGCTTGATCTCCTGGAGCAGCGTGGGGAGGCGGTCGGACGAGAGGACGTGTGCGAATGCGTCTGCGAAGATGTTGACGAGGGCCTGCTGGCGGCGCGGGGAGGGGGGGCTGTGGGCGGATGCTGAAGCTGGGCTTTCCGGTGCTGGTGACGGTGCCGGTGCCGTCGTGGAGGAGGCGATGCGGCCCTTTTTCCTGGGTGCCCGTGTTTTCGAGCCGACCATTTCATCGATGGATGGGTATAAGTAGGTGGGTGGTGGGAACAAACGGTCGAGGGCCGAGGCGAGGCGGCTCGCGGACCAGTTGGCGTGTGCGTGGATGGCAGGCGGTCTGGATTTGGAGGGCTCGGCTCGGCTGGAGGCGGGCACTACGATATCGGCTGGTCGGAGGTCGCTTGAATGCGGCACAGCTCGACACCCGGGTCATGAATCTGTCTGTCTGCACTGAACTTTTACTGGTACGTAACTTACATGATTGATCTACATGGAAAGTTTTGCTTCTTTTTTTTTTCCTTTTCTTCCTTTTTTTCAAGGCCGTCCTGTACATCTCCCACATGTCTGTCACCTTGGCGCATCGCCCGTGGCTGATCGACAAGGCCGGAGCTCGGACGTGGACTCTCGGCTCTGCACCCTGCCGCACATGACGAGATGCTGACTGATGCTTTCCGTGGAAGGCGGGCTTGGCTTGACTTCTGTGGTGCTTCAACGTCCGTCTGTGGCGGAATCGATTGGGTGGACATGCTCCCCTTCCCCTCTCTTATTTGTCCTCTACTTGTTTGAGACTTTTTTTTCTAAAAAGTTTTTTTGATGGTGTTCTCGCGCACGTTGAGAGCGACCGACTCCATGATGGAGCTGTTCTGTTCCGTCGGCAATTGCTGCCTGCTTTCCCAAGGACAAGCATGACACGCATGACGTGAAGCCGGGCACTGCGCAGCCGAACTGGGTGTTTCTGGAGTCTGCACAGTCAGCAGTCAATCACCCATTGTTGGCAGCCCCTACCTTTGGCGCCCGGCTTGCCAGGCACCGCCCAACCCAATGCGTGATGTGTGCCGGTGAAACGCAGAGGCAGAGGGGCGCGAATCGATTCCGCAGCATCGCCGTTGCAGCCGCGCGGCGCTGCGTTGCGCTGAATCCGCGACGCCGGACCCACCGGCCCCCCTCCAGCGAACCATGACATAATACCTCCAGGAGTCCAGTGCGAGGTCGACTAATGAGTTAACCAGTTACACGACCCCTCAGCAAGAACTTCCCAGCGCCCCTTCCCCTCGCTCTTGCCCAAGTACTTATCTGTAATCCTGAATCTTCCCTCTTCCCATCCGCGAACGCTGCCCTCCTCTCTTCTATTTCCCCAGCCTGCTTATCCAGTCGAACCCCCAGACAGCACGCCCATCATGGCCTACGGCGAAATTGACCAGTTGTCCATCAACACCATCCGTCTGCTTGCAGTACGTCGAGCTCTCTACCCCGCCATTGCTCCTGTTCTCGCGCCTGCTCCTGCTCCTGCTCCCCCTCAGCCCCGCCATGGCATCTCTGCGTGCGACCTCGCCGCCCACGAAACACGCACTTGCGGCAGCGGGAGAGGGCCGTTTCGATCGTGGCATCCTGCCCAGAGGAGAACACACAAGTGATGGGTGCTGATGACTGACAAACAACGCCGCCATTATTCTAGGCCGATGCCACCTTCAACAGCAACTCCGGACACCCCGGTGCTCCCATGTGAGTGGCCTCGCTCGCCAAGTTCGCGACCTCGTGGGAAAAAATTGCTGGCTGACGAGTTCCTAGGGGCATGGCGCCCGTTGCCCACGTCCTCTTCAACAAATTCATGAAGTTCAACCCCAAGAACCCCAAGTGGCTGAACCGAGATCGTTTCGTTCTCTCGTAAGTCACTCTTCGCCGTGAGACCACGGCGGCCGCGGGTCAGCAAATATGCAATTTTCGCTTACTTGAGTGGCAATTAGTAACGGCCACGGCTGCATGCTGCAGTATGCCCTGCTCCATCTCTTTGGCTATGACTTGAGCATTCAGGATCTCAAAGAATTCCGAGTAAGCCGCGATTCCCGCAATACTCCACCTCGGTTGGAGAACGAGTCTAATCCATCGTGCAGAAAGTCGACAGCAAGACTCCTGGCCACCCCGAGGCCCATGATACCCCCGGAGTTGAGGTCACTACTGGCCCCCTCGGCCAGGGTGTCTGCAACGCTGTTGGCCTGGCCATGGCCCAGGCTCACACCGCCGCCACCTTCAACAAGCCTGGATTTGACGTGGTTGACAACTACACGTACTGCTTCCTCGGTGATGGTTGCTTGATGGAGGGCGTCTCCAGCGAGGCCTCTTCGCTGGCCGGCCACCTGCAGCTTGGCAACCTCATCTTTATTTACGATGACAACCACATCTCCATTGACGGTGACACCAACTGCGCCTTCACCGAAGATGTTGTCAAGAGATACGAGGCCTACGGCTGGCATGTCGAGGTTGTCAATGACGGCGATTCCGACCTTGACGGCATCGAGGCCGCCATCAAGAAGTGCCGAGAGGTCAAGGACAAGCCCTCGCTGATCAAGCTCAAGACCACCATCGGTTTCGGCTCGCTTCAGCAGGGCACCCACGGCGTCCACGGCTCTCCCCTCAAGGCTGATGACATCAAGCAGCTCAAGCAGAAGTGGGGTTTCCCCGAGGAGGCTTTCCACGTCCCCAAGGAGGTCTACGACTTGTACGGCAAGCATTCTTCTGAGGGAGCCTCCCACGAGGACAAGTGGAACCAGCTCATGTCCAAGTACGCTGAGCAGTTCCCCAAAGAAGCTGCCGACCTCAAGCGCCGTCTCACGGGTGACCTTCCTCAGGGCTGGGAGAAGAACCTTCCCGTCTACACTCCCTCGGATGCCGCTGTCGCTTCGCGCAAACTTTCCGAGACTGTTCTGAGCAAGATTGAAGGCGCCATCCCTGAGCTCCTCGGTGGCTCTGCTGATTTGACCGGCTCCAATCTGACGCGCTGGAAGACCGCCGTCGACTTCCAGCCCAAGGCTACTGGTCTCGGAGACTACACTGGTCGATACGTGCGCTATGGCGTGCGTGAGCATGGCATGGGGGCCATCATGAACGGTCTCGCTGCTTACGGCACCATCCTGCCCTATGGTGGAACTTTTTTGAATTTTGTCTCCTACGCCGCCGGTGCTGTCCGTCTCTCGGCTCTGTCCCAAGTCCGCGTCATTTGGGTTGCCACCCACGACTCCATTGGTCTTGGAGAGGACGGTCCTACTCACCAGCCTATCGAGACCCTGGCCCACTTCCGGGCTTTGCCCAACTGCATGGTCTGGCGCCCTGCCGATGGTAACGAGACCAGCGCTGCTTATTATATTGCCTTGACCTCGAAGCATACTCCCAGCATCCTGGCTCTGTCCCGGCAGAACCTGCCCCAGCTTGAGGGCTCCACCATCGAGAAGGCCAGCAAGGGTGGTTATGTTCTGCACGAGGTTCCCCGCGCCAACATCACCTTGGTCTCCACCGGCTCCGAGGTGTCCATCTGCGTGGAGGCTGCCAAGTATCTCGACGAGAAGCACGGCGTCAAGGCTCGCATTGTCTCGATCCCCTGCTTCGAGGTCTTTGATTCTCAGTCCAAGGAGTACAGGCTTTCTGTGCTGCCCGATGGTATCCCCTCTCTGTCCGTTGAGGTCATGAGCACCATGGGCTGGGAACGATACACTCACGAGCAGTTTGGTATCAACCGCTTCGGTGCTTCTGGCGCCTACAAGGACGTCTACAAGGTAAGACTTGACCGGGCATCCAGCATCCAGCCCTTGCGCTCTTCATCTTGGGTCTTCCGCAGCTAACAACCTCTACAGAAGTTCGAGTTTACTCCCGAAGGTATTTCCAAGCGCGCCGTCGCCACGATCGACTTCTGGAAGGATGTCCCCAACATCCGCTCTCATCTCAACCGAGCTTTCCAGCAGCACATTTAACATACCACGCCATTGCGACTGGGTTGGCTTTGCAGCTAGAGCTACATGAATACATGGCCCTTGTTCTGGGACGAGAATTGATACGCCACGACGACGATATTGGGAAGAGAGTTTGGAATGGTTAAAAAATATATAGATGTTGTACTTCAAAACATGAGATGACAAGATGTCAAACATGCAATCAGGACTTTTTTAGTCTAAAACAAAAACACGTAGCCAGCTGCCATGTCATGTGTAAAGATGATTGAGCAAGACGCACAGATGAGACGAACGAGCCGCAAACAACTCCGCGCTATGAAGAAAAAAGAAGGCAGGAATCACGAGGTTGCTGTCATGGCGGGCGTATCGAGGTTGAATGTTGATGAATGACAAGAGGGAACACCGTAGCATGTCGTGTCGTGAGGTGCCAAGGTGCCACGGTGCCAAGATTTTGATTTGTGCGACGACAAAGGGCGACGAGCAACTGCCCATGACGGCGGGTTGACGGCGGGCTGACGGCAGGAGAATATGCTTGCCGATTTGGCCCAGAATTTGCCACTCGCTTAATCTGGATGGCGTGCGTCGCGGTGGGAGGAGCGGTAGCGGTAGCAGCTGCTGCTGCATCTGAGACGGCAAATCGCGTAGGCTACCCTTGCACGTCGATCTGGGCATGATGAGCCCGCACGACGTGCCGTCCAATAAAGACTTGCCTTGCAATGGGCAACAAGGCCGGACATGCAAAAGCTGGGAGCGCGGCCACGAGAGAAGGAGAACAGGGAAGGGGGGAAAAAAAGGAGGCAACTTCTCAATCAATCGGCACCGGCATCTCGCTCAGCTTGTGCGGTCCACTCCTTCTGAAACTCCCTCCCGACTCTCTCCAACGTGGCGGCGGCCCTCCTGGCCTCTCTCGCTTCCTCAGACGAAGGCGCAACGACTACGCCTACCAACATGGGCGCGGCGTCGTCGGGCAACTGGCGGGTTTCTGCGTCTTCGTCTGTGGCGGCGGAGGCGACGGTGTCCACGTCCTTGTGGGAGGTGCTCCGGCCGGACGGGACCGACGAAGAGGATTCGCGAGGGTCAAGATAGGTCTGGAGCACGACGGCGCCCGAGTCTGGGTATTCGACCATGATGCGCTGGGGGCGGCCGAGGTGCGCGCGCTGAGCGGCGGTTTGGGAGGACAATGCGCTCGAGGTCAGGGCGGTCAGGGAGTCGAGGTGGGCCGGGGAGGAGGAGGAGGTTATCAGCGGTGTGAGGGTGATGTCGCTGAGGTGGATGGACAGAGTGGGGTGCTGGGAGGGGAGATTGGCCATGACGTCGGTCTGGTTGTTGTCGTCGTCGTCGTCGTGGCGGTTGTCGCGAATGTGCAGGGAGTCTCTCTCGAGGAACCAGAGGAGACGGGGCGGGGAGCGAGATGCACTTGTTGTACGGAGTACGGGGACTGAATTGGCAGAAGAGGGTGAAGGAGAAGCAGGAGAGAAGAGAGAGAAGAGACGTGACGGGGGAGGGGATACGACGGACTAGATAAGTAAGGAGAAGGCTAATAAAAGGCTGGCTCCGTCGGCTACGTTTGCGCCATCCATGGAAGCAGAGAACTGGAGGAGCCGGGGAGTCGCTCGGGACGTGGAGGGTGAGCGAACCGAACCGCAGCAGCGGTCGAGGCGGGTGGAGGAAACGGCGGGGTTTGGCGTGGTGTCGATGTCGATGTCGACGTAAATGTGAATGTCGAGTCGATGCCGATGCCGATGCCGATGTTCAATTGTCCGATGCCGTTGGCTGTCGATGTTGGCGGGTTGGTGCACGGGCGACGGGTGCCGGAAGCTGGAAGCCGTCAATCAGATCAGTGCTGGCTGACGAGGGGAGGCGCCCTGGGGCCTGGGGCCTGGGGAGGCGGGCTCTGCACGGGCGTAGGGGGGGAGGGGTGCCTGTGCATGTGCATGTGCATGGCAATATGCAACATGCAACATGCAACATGCATGATGAAACTGAGGGGCGGCGGCTCGTGCATGCAGGCAGGGCAGACGGCGGGCGGATTTTGGTTTTGGTGCGGCAGCTGGGTGCTTGGGTCCCAGACGCTGACGGACTGGCTTCAGCATCAACGGCTTCGAAGCTGACGGGTTGGTGACGACACGGCGGCGCATTGAGTGCCGCACGGGCTCCTGGTGTTGCCATGTCCGGACTCCGGTGCTTGAGGAGCTACCACGGTGCTCCGGACGTAGGTATAATACACATGTGTTATGCATAAGTGCATGCTGTGAGTGGGTGCGAGCGAGTGCGCGCAGCAGACCAGCCTCGCTCGCTCATAGATGATAGATGGCGCCCCGCAGCGCTACATGCGGTACGGAGTAGGCAAAAAGTTCGCCTGGAAGGCGGCACCGGATCTGCCTCCGGGTCCCGTCTCTCAAGGGCCTGGGTACAGTGCACGTGCAGCCCGCAGCCTTCCGCTCAACCCAAGTGGTCACTGGTCGGTCGGGGGGAAGGGCAGGTTTTTTTGCGTTTAAAAATAGAGGCGAGTAGTTAGTATCATCACGACTTGTTCTGTTCTGCTTTGTTTGATATCTCTCGCCTTGATTTTTTTTTTCCAAAAAAAATAATTGCACGGCACTTGCGAGCGGGCACGCAGGTATTCAATATTATGCGAGACCATCACTGATGCCTAGGTACTTAAGTATTGTTGGGTTCACCCCTGCGCATTGGCTTTTTGTAATACAATAGCCCTCGTCTTTTTTTTTGGTCTCCCTTTTTTTGATTTTTTTTTTCCTTTCTTTTTCTCATCCACATCGTCTCCCCCCTCCCATGCAGCCATGCGGTGCTAGATACAGGTACGCGAGACAACAGGCCTTTTACCCGCACCAGCTGTGTGGTTGGGGGCCACGTTGTGCGTCTCAGTTTGCGGGGGGCGCGCTGGATGGGGCCGCCTGGCTTGAATAATACGTCCTACGTACTACGTACTACGTAGTACCGACTGGTACTCTGTAGTTGCGGGCTAGACATACATGAAGGCTGGTTCTATGTTGTGCGTGAGTCGGTTTGTTTCAGGCGTTGCGGGCGGATCTCTTTTCTCTCTCGCTCTCCCTCTCTCTTCCCCTCTATCTCTTGCTCTCTCTCTTTTTTTTTCTTTTTTTTTTCGGGAAATCGGTGGTTTGTGCCGAGGTGCAATGAGCACGTCTGGGACGAGGTCTAGTGGAAATGCGGGGGAACGAACATTGACGTCGTATTGACTGTACTACATACGGAGTACATGTGTGTCAATTGATCGACGGGCGAGGCGGCTGTTGGCGAATGCGGAGTATTTTCCACATGTAACTTCGCGTCCACTATTGTATTTGTATTTTCCGTATTATCAAGCAAGATGGAAGTTGGGGACTCGAAGCACTCGATCCATGTTGGTTAGCCTTGTCGGCAAACGGATCTGTTTCTTCGTATTACTGGGCACTTGCTCAAGTACTCAAGTAGGAACCTACTGTGCTCTCAATGGTAGGCACATGGCCGTGTACTTGAGAAGTACCCAAGTGAATATTCCGAGTCGCGAGAACTCGCTTACTCACCCCACTGACTGGCTGCCTGGCTCTCATCACCACGTCCTCCCCGCGTCACCCTTCAACCCCTCCCGAGACGTCCTCCGCCTTGGACGCCTGGCCAGGCCGTGCTGGCATCCCAACTGCCCTGCCCTGCGTCATTAAAATTCTCCGACATCATCTTCCCCTCACGCACAATGCTTCCAGACTACCCTGGTGTTGCACGGGGGAAGGGGGCGGCGGAGATGCAGCACGCTCGCAAACGGATCAATGACTTTGTGTGAAACATCCATCCCTCATACCTGGCGCCGCGCCATTGGCGCGCATATACGGAGTAGCAACTCATCACTTTGCACCGGAAAAATCTCGTGATTACGTGTTCACGTCCCGCTCTGCTAGCACGAACCGAACCCCGCGAGCAAAAGGAGTCTTCTTGTGCGCTTCCCCGTCTGTGGACTTGACAGGTCGACCCTGCCTCGATCGAGCTCCGTCGGTGTGACATGGCCGTGCTGTTTGGCTCCTCTGGGACGCACCGTCGCCCTCGTGGAGTCCTTGCCCACCGAAATGTTGTGGCTGTCCAGATTTATCAGACTCCCGCTCGACGAGACGTGCCCTGAAGAAGCCTGTGATGTTTACATTGGACCGGGTTAAAAATAGAAGCAAAAAAATTAATAAAAAAACCCTAACGTTACTTTGCTTCGCAAACCGCCCCTCTTTGGCGTGTCGGCCTACCCTACAGCTTGCTGGGCACTTTCAACCCTCCTAGCATTCTTCCGGTACGTGCTTCGGGCCTTTGTTTTCGGCGAACAGGCAATGATGACATGCCGTGCGTGCCGTTGATGAGCTGGTCGTGGGAAATGACCCGGATTCTGGAACCTGTTGTCACCCGATTCTCAATGACGATCAGACAAATCTCAACGGTCCGCACGAGACAATGGCAACAACGGAGGCCCCGGGCTCTATACCACCGGCGGATACCGAAGGCACAAACATGGGAGAAGCCATGCACCGTCTCTCCAAGACGTCTACCTACTCAGTCACATTAAACCGTGGACGACACACACAAATGCTCCCGCGCGTTCGTGGCCATTGTCTTCGCTTCTGCCGCACCTGGCAGACGCAGCGCCAGAGTGGGGATCCGCCGCTGCTCCAGTCGTCGGGTTCGTTTGCCGGTGAGGAGATGGCCTTGGCGAGCAATCACTGGGTCTGGTTGGAGGTGCACCGGATGAGGGGAGGCTCTGAGTCAACAAGAAGGATTCCATCTTGGGCGGCATGGCGTGGCCAGACTGGCTGCCTTGCACAACACGGTGGCAGACGAGTCCATTTGGCTTGCAGTCGGCCGCTCCGCCTGGGAGCGAGCCCATCCCATTTCACATTCGCATTCGTGACGGAGCTGTCCGGATCGGAGTGATTGGGAACCGGCAGAATGGGCAAATGCTCTGGCCGACGTCACTGCGTGGTGTTTCCGAGAGTCATGGCCCTTTGCAGAACGACAAATCACCACGGCATGGATGGGATGTGCGTGACAAAGGCAACCCCCTTTTTTTTGTTTTACAAGTCATGTTTTTCGTCTCGGCTGGCAGCGCGTGCAGGCCTCGCCGAAGGACAGAACAAGCGCATGTCTTGTCTTGCCGTCGAGCTTGGGGGACGGGTAGGCATGTTAAATGGAAGTGTACTCCGTACGTAGACTCATCACCTTGGTTGTCGTGACTCGTGAACAAGGCTGGGCATCAATCGCAGGCGGCTCGGCTCTTGGTTGGGAGCAGGCCGCTGCGCGGCAGATGACCAGTCAAGGCCTGGTCGGGGATCGAAGTGGGTGTCGGCAACAAGAGAGGCTGACGACTTGACAATGAGGAACCCGATAGTCGTGCGTCTTGAGAGATGGAGAGAGGCAGGTGCTGGTAACACTGGCTGGATGCTGGATGGCGGCACGGCACGGCGGCGACCGCGGCAGAGATGTGGCGGCGGCCGTCGATGCTGGATGCTTATGCTCGACGGGTCGACGATGTTGTCGGTCGGGCTACTCTGCACGCTTACTTACCTAAGCAGCACTCGTTGGGCGTGCTTGTTTGGGACTGGAGCGTTGACGAGCGCAGCAGAGCCCTGGGGCACTGGAGCACCGGAGCACCAGCTCTGAGCACTGGAGCCTGGAGCACAGCCATGCAGCCTGTGGCCCCAGCCACTCACGTCTGGACGCCTGGCTGAACAGCAGTCTGCCTGCTGCCTGCTGCCTGCTGCCTGCTGCCTGCTGCCTGCTGCCGTCTGGTGAGAGAAAAGAACAGTGCAGTGCGTGCCCGCCAAATCTAAGCTTGGGCGCTCTTCTGCCGCGCCCCCAGCCATCGACACTCCACGCTCAACTTGACAAGTCGACTTCGATCCGCTCCGTCGACAACACACCACCATCGTCGTTCGGTCCCCCATCTTCGTCTCTGTTCCCTCCATCGCCGTCTCGACTTGGGGAGCGAGTCACTCAGGGGGCTGCCGATTTATTCCTTTTTCTTTTCTCACCCCAACGCCCCCCCCCCGCCGCCGCCGTGTACTCGACCCGTCTTGTCTCCGCGCTCCAGCTCGGGACCACTGCTGGGCTTCCCTCGTCAGCCCGTCATTGCCACAAGCCCGTCCTGCGTCTCACCTCTCCTTCGTCTCGCACCGCAGGGCCGGTTGCGCCATCATCAACCTCGTTTTCATCCGCAGCACTGCTTGTAGCTATTTGACGCCGGTCCCTGCAGCCCGCCGCGCATGGTCTTGTTGCGTTGAGTGCGCTTTCGTCCCCGACGACCCAATCCGTCCGTCGTCTCTCGCAGTCTCTGCGAGGTCGACCTTGCCCACGCCGTCCACGCCCACAGCCCTCGCGACGGCATGCCTGCACCACGACGCAGAAAGATCGGCCACCGGCGCCGCGTCGAAGATGAGGCCGATGATGACGGCCGTCCCGATGCGCTGGATCTCGATGACGACTCCTTGACCGAAGGCTCCCTCACTGACGACGATGACGCCGGTCAAGACAGCGACACCAGCAACATCGACGAAGCTTCGCCGACGACTCCCAACGCCTCCAAGGCCACCGACGGCCCCCACCCAAAGTCTGCTCGTACCAGCACAGCGGCTGCGGCAAATGGCAATGCGAAGCAAGCTTCCGACACCGAAATGATGCTGCATGGTCTGTCCATCGCCCGTCAGACCGCAACCCCCCAGGAAATGCAGTTCGACGAGGTCGTCGTGTCGCCGCCCAAGTCCCCCTCCGCGCCGGTCGTCGTCAGCTCGGCCTCTGCCATGAGGCAACAGCCCGCCAACCACGTTGAGCGGCGACGACAAGAGCATGAGGACTACAAACGCCGGAGAGACGAAGATCCCGCCTTTGTGCCCAATAGGGGGTCGTTCTTCATGCATGACCATCGACACGCCGGACCTGCCGCGAATGGGTTCAGACCGTTTGGCCGCGGGAGAGGAAGAGGCGGTCGCTATGGTGTTGGCGGTCCCTTCGCCCCTTTCAGGTACGTCTCCCACGCATCAGTCCCTTTGTGCCTTTCACCTCTCCCTCTCGCCACCCGTCTTGTCTCTGGCATATGTCGTGTGCTGACCTCCCCCCGACCAGCCACATGCAGCAACCTTCGGATCCAACCACGAATTCCCAATGGACTCACGACATGCACGACTCCGTCGCCGATTCCGTACCTCGTCGACCTCGACAAATGCCAGATGATGAAGGGCCGCCCAACGGCAACGGCTTTATACCCACCTGTGAGCCTAGTGCCACTCCCATCAACCGTACGCTGTCCACCGAGAAACACATCGGCAATGCTCAAGTTCGCGTCATGTTGCCGGGCATGATGGAGCCGGCCGTCTTTCCCGGCATGCCTGTAAAGCAATACACCAAGTTGCCTGATCATCGTCCTCCTCTTCGACGAGACAAGCCCGTCCGCATCTCCTTGCCTGGCCATCCTCCGCGATACATCTTTCCTGCCTCTGATCGATCCTTTACCTTCATCCCACGTGCCCTCCGACCTAATCAGCAGCGCATGCGTGGCAAGTCCAGGTCTGCATGGGGCTCCATCGGAGGGTTTTCGAGGCGGACAAGCGTATTTGGGGGAAGCTACTATGGAAGCGCCTACTCGCCCAGCGTTGCCCTCAGTCGCCGCTCATCCGTCGCTCACGAGCGCGATTTTATTTTCTCGCCGACGGCAACTGTCATCTCGAGGCCGCCCATGCCCACGGACAACGTTCGACCAGTCGTTCGACTTCCGCCTAGTGCTATGCCCCAACCTCCCATGCCGGTGCAACTGCCAGCGCCAGGACCCGCCCATGTCGCCCCGCCAGCTTTCGGGCAAGATGCCGTCCTTCTGCCTGTGCCTCAAACGTCGGCGCAGTCGGCCGCTCCCGCCGAGTCGTCGATCAATGAGCTTCCACCTCCACAAACACACCCGCTCCCCCAGAAACCGACGGTGCAGGAGAATCGGCCAAACTCAATCCCCATGCATCAACCACGACCACAGAAGAACATTTCCGTGGCGGACATTGAGTCCCCCACAATGACTCGGGGAGTTGGCTCTCAAGCGTTCCAGGGAGCCTTCCATCAGCAGGTCCCCGTGCAGGTGGCCAACGGCTATGGTCAGGAAGCGCATGCGCGACGACCGTCATTTCCCTCGCAGCAGTCTACTGGAACGCCGCTCTCCCATATTCCAGAGAGGGCCATCCATGCCGCGCCGTTCCAGCCCAACGCGTACGGCCAGCCGCAGTACTATGGACAGCAAGTATACCAACCCCAGCCACAGCAGGGATACTTCTATGCTACTGGGTATTCTGGACCCGGCATGGCGCCGACGGCACCGGCGCCTGGATTTGTCCCTGCCGGTCAGCCCGCAAACATGCCCGGGGGCTTCGCCCCTCAGGGCCAACCCGACCAAGGATCGGCTTCACTCGGCCACGGACACAATCCCTCGGCCGGTTCGAACCTGGTGGCCCAAGAAGTAAACGGAATGGTTTACTATTACGATGCCAGCCAGATTGCACCGGTCAATTCTTACCCTACATACTCGGCGCCTCAGGGGTACCAGCCCAGTGTCATGGGCATGGGAGGAATGGTGACACCAAGCCCTGACGGATTCTACTACCCCCAGCATGCATCTGGAATGGTCTACTACCCACAGTAGGGCTGTGCTCCCCTCAACTTCTACCATCTCGCTTTCCCTCAGTCCCTATCCCATTTTGCCGATTTAATAGCTTCGTTGTAGTATGCTGTGCCGCATCTTTTCTTGGCGGCGGGAGGGGAGGGGGGGAGTGTTCTCTCTCTACTGCTTCTACCTCCTCACATATGGTTTTCATTGCTTTTCTCTACTCTTTGCTCTTCTTTAAATTCTTTGTATTGGATCGGACATTCTTGGGTATCATTGTTTGGGTTTGCCGGAGCGTTGCGCCAAAAAAGAAATGATTTGGTTTTGACAAGAATTATTCCCCCCTTTCCTTGAAGCTGAGTTGTTACTGCGCAGGAGGGTGCCTGTCGTTTTGTATGTGGATATTTGTCTCTCCATGTTGGAGCGACGAAGTATTTGAGAGAGGGTTACCTGCACTGCGTCCCCCGCTTCTCTTGAAGTGTGTTTCGGTGTTGCCGAGCGTCGACAATCCGAGGAAGCGATGATTTGACAGGTTTGAGTGGGAGAAGGGGTTGCAAACAACAAGGGCTCCGTTGAAAGAAGCAGGGCATTGCGGCAGTTGTCGTCGTTGGGAGATGGCCGAGGGGCAGGATATCCTGGAGTGTTTGTGGACTCAAAAGCTCAAACGGGGGTTGGTTTCCTTTGATTTTTTGGCACCACCATTTTCCTTTGTCGGCACGATTAAGCTTACCACATCATTCTTATTATTTCTTTCTTTCTTTTTTTTTTCTCTCTCTGTGAAGCGGAGTTCGAGTTGCCTCGCCCTTTTGGTTGTAGCTGTTCATGGCAGCGGCGTTTTGGGTGTTGGGAGCATCATATAGGAAACCTGAAATGCGAAGGACTTGAGCTTCACGTGGCTGCAGCGAATTGTGAGCAAAGTGACGGAAGGGGCGTGATGTGCAGTCATGCTGGGTCGCTGAGCAAGCGGCAGCAGATTGGCGACGTGACGTGATGCTCGGAAGTATCGGGAGCAGACGGACTGTCGTTTGTGCGGCTCACGAGTCACGACCTGGTGGTGGTGAATTGTTTTTTATCTCGTCCGGCCGCTCGATGATGAACCAGGCGGGTAGCTTACCTACCTAGGTAAGTACCTAGGTAACTTACTTGGTAGCCAATGTCGGCCGTATCTCCCTCCCTCTCCCTCCCTCTCCCTCCCCCTCTCCCTCTTCCGCTCCCCCCTCTTTTTTAAACAAGAAAGAAGGTTTGTACAGAGTCGACACCACCCACCAACCAACTACCTAGGTACTTACTAATAGAATGTGGCGAGGCAGGCAGCTTGTGCCCCCAGGCAGCAGTGATGTAGGCCCTGGGGGGACGAGGGGTCCGAGCAGAGGCCATAAGGGCCAAGCGGCAAAGCCAAGGTTATTATCCGTAAATCGCCTTTTTTTTTTTTTTTTTTTGGAAATCTCAGCCGCAGATCAGCAGGATGGTGTTTTGTTCCTCGAGACCCTTTGGTACGTACACGTGTACGTGCACGTGATCGACCTGTACCGGGGTGTTGCCGGGGAGACAGACTGCGTGAACGGCTACAGCCTACAGGGGGCGTTTTGTGGAGGACTACGGAGCCGTCTGGGGCTGGTGAAGCCGAAGCCGAAGCCGAAGCTCGACATGGAACGTGGGCTCGGTTCCCTTGACGTTGAAGTACGGGGTAAAGACGCACTCAATCTTGTGCAGCCATGGCGGTGTCGGCCGGCCTTGCTTGGTGAGAAACGTGGTCGCGGCGGGAGTTTGGTGGTGAGTTTCGGATGCAGAGCCACCCTGCGAGCACGTACGGATTGCGAACACACGGCATGGCATGCTGGGAGGCACCGAGAACGAGATGGAACGAGAGGATGACAGATCATGGATGATGGATCATGGTTGATTTTGGACCGTGTAACTTTACGTATGCTGAGGCGAGGCGAGGCGAGGCATCTTGGATTCATCATGGTTCGGATCGCTCAGCCGGAAGCGGGCCTTGGGTCTGTGCGCCGCGTCCCCACCTTGGATCTGCCAGACGGCCACCCCGACCAGTCAGAGACGCGGAGCGCGGGGAAATTCTGCATGGACTCTGGGCCCTTGGGGGACCCAGGCCAGGGTTGCTCTGGTGGCTGTGTCTGTTTGCCTTGGGCTCACCGGCGTCACGACTCACGACTCACAACTCACCACAATGGGCGGCGACTGAGACTGCGCAAACTGTTTGGCAGGGGCCGTGATTTGGGCACGTCGCCCGCATCCAGGTGCTCCGTACTCGGCACTTTTGAAATCTGTACGCCGCGGCGGCTAATGAATCGTGCGGTCTGGTCGCAAAGTTGCAGGGTGGGCAGGTCGTAGTAGTACCAGGAAGTAGCAGCAGCAGTGGCGCGGAGTGCGGAGTAGCAGTACGTACGCACGCACGCACGCACGCACGCACGCATGCATTTGCAAAGCAGCCGGGCGTCGAGGCGAAGTGCCGTTGTGCCAAGGCCGTGTCTGGGATTCGACCATCGACCAGGACCGGAATCGCGAGCACGGAGCAGGACTGACTGCGCTCTCTGTGCTGCTATTCCGTACGGAGAAGCTGCCAACTGCCGGCGGTGTTGTCGTATGATGTATCGGTGTTTTGGCCGGGCGGTCCGACTCCAGCAACAAGACGTGACGTGACGTACCGAGTACCGAGGCAGGTACTCCGTACTTGGACGGATTGTAGTGACGTTGGAGCCGTCTCTGGCGCCCGCCGCGACCAAGCCACCCTTCCCGCGGTTGGCTCGCCCTTGTTCTCCCTTGCGATTAAGCTCACTCAGTGGCTGTGCAGTACGTACCTGGCAGTCCGCGCAGGGAACAAGCCTCGGCTGGACTAGGAACTTGGGCATGCGTGGAGCAGCAGACTGCTTGGGCTCGATGGACGGCCGCGAGTCTCATGTTTTGGGAGCGCTCTGGCCGGACTTGGAATTGACCTCGAAGGATCAAGCTGTGCCGGCGGGCCGGATGTTTTTGGCTCTGGAGAGAGCTCGAGTCTGATGGTCCAACAGGACAGATGTGTTGCATCGAAAGTGCTCCGTACTAAGTTAGTAGTTCCGACTTTTTGCGAATTGAACAGTACGAGTACGACCCGACCACGGAGCAGGTACAAAGCCGAAAGCCCGAAAGCCCGAAAAACCGAAGAGCCAAAAAAAAAAGAGAGAGAGAGAGACAGCTGTCGTTTAGTAATAGGCCTCGTGCTGCTCCGTACCTGTTAGACTTGAGACTTGAGACCAAAAAGAGTCCTGGTCCGCTCAACTTGGAAGTCATGGACGTGACCAAAGACCACAGTTGACCCCGACGCTGCACAGGGCGGGTTTAGGTCCACAACTCCTCCAAATCTGCGTCCGATTCCAGGTGCCACATCCAATTAGTTACTTACTTGTTAGCAATGAACCACTAGGTAGTTAAGCCAACTGAATAATTCAGTCTTCCCCCTCTGCAGTTTCCTCCCCCCAGCGGTCCCAGCGCCAGCTGTTCGGCCCGGTCCAGTGACACTGAACACCAGTACTAAACACCCCCGAGGCCCCTCGCCCACGGCACAACAGCGTGGCGTCTCGAGTATCCCGAGAATTCTGAGATTTCAAGCTTCCAAACCCATGTTTCTTCTTCCCCGCGCCACCGACCGCCTCGCCGTTTTAGACCTCGCCCCCTTCGACCACCCTCCTCGTCCTTCGCCGCCGCCGCGTAATTGTCACCGCTGCCTCTTCTCAGTACTCTGCAGCCTGCGGGGAAGCCACCCAGACTACTAGTAGAAGTACTTAATCAAGTCCCCGCCCACGCCTGCGCACGCGGGAACTCCACTCGTGCCGCCCACTTCCACAGCTCAGGTGCCTGCTTGCCACCACCTGGCTTTTCCCACAGCGCATGCTTGCCTGCCTTGCACTCGAAAACACAAGACACTTCTCCGCTGCTGCCCCAGGCAGAGAACCCCCCAGTGCCGCCCGGTGCCGCCCCAGTCGATTCGTCACCGCCGACTCAGTAGGTCCACGCTGTCCCCGAACTCCCGCTCTCGAGACCGCCCTCATCCTCGACTTCCAACACACCAACGCCGCGTCTGGCTGACCTTTTGCCTTTGCCTATGCACAGACACTGCGTTCGTCCTCGAAATGTCGTCTGTCTCTCCGCCCGGCCCCGATGCCATGGTCACCATCAAGGTGACCTTTGAGGGTGTCGCTCGCAGGGCAAAGATGGCTCTGCGTGAGATGGTCCCTGGCCTCCTTGAGGGGCACGTAAGTCTACCCCCGACGGCAAACCTTCCACCCTCCAACTCCTGCTCGCCATCACTGACGCCACTGTCAGGTTCGGACATTTCTGCACATCCCCGCCGAAACCAAGATCATGATCGAGCGTTACTCCGACTCTGCCGCTGCCTATGTCATGCTAGACTCCTCCAACATGGCCGTCTACAAGCAGCTGTACAGAGCCGCCAAGGCAAAGTCGAAGCTCAAGCTCCGTGTGTCCGTCTTGCACCAGAGTGACAAATCGTCCCCCAAGCCCGTCACCATCAAAGATGCCTCCGAGACTATTCCCCAGACCACTCCTGTCGAGCGGCCTGACCTTGCCACCTCTGACCCGACACCGCTCGATACTGCCAGCTCTGGCCGCACCACCCTCTCAAAACAGTACGACTCAAACCTGTTGCAGGAGGCCGCCAAGATTATTCAGGACCACCAGGCCGAGTTTCACAGCCACATTCGAAAAGTCATAAAGTCAACCGATGACCTCGCGAGCCTCACCTCCCACATGGCCAGCTGCCAGCCATTTGCTGCTACATCCAGTGCTCCCAAGCTGTCCGAGTCACCTTTGGCCGACTGCCCTGCCACCGGTGCCATGCTCGCCGTGTGCTGCAACAGCTGCGAGCAGAGCATTCCAGATGCTCACTATCACTGCTCCACCTGTGACGATGGCGATTTCGATCTGTGTCAGTCCTGCGTCGACCAGGGCATAACCTGCTACAGCGACGATCACTGGCTGATCAAGCGTATCTTGAACAATGGCCATATTGTTAGCAGCACAACTGAGACCATTGCGCCCAAACTCAAGCTCGCGACTGCCGTGACTCCCAAGGACGACGTTGTCAGGGTAGACGAGTCTGAGACGGAAAGTAGCCTCCCCGAGGTGCTTGAGAAGCAGCCCTTTATTCCGGCCCAACGTTTCTCCCCTAGCCTTCTCAGCCCTCCCAAGCCCCTCACACATCCTTCAATCACTCAAATGCCTAGTACGGGAAACATGCGTACATGCAACCAGTGCCTACGAGGTAAGATGCGCATCTTGCTGTATCAAGCTCGAGATTGCCGTTGCGATCCCCATTTTGGGAGAGGAATCCTGCTAACAGACAGCACCTCGCAGAACTGCCCGAGCCCGAGTTCATTCACTGTTTAGACTGTGAGGATTATGACCTGTGCCAGCCATGCTTTACCAAGGATGCCCATGGCCACCACCCCAAGCACGCTTTTCAACCTGCTGTCCTCGGCAGTGAGATGCCTCCTTATGCACGACTCAAGATGAGACCTGGCCGCAACCAGATCCATCACGCCATCTGTGATGGCTGTGATTCCGTAAGTCGAGGACACGAGTGACTGCTTCTTTCAAGAGTGTCTGATTTTTAACGTCTGAAACTACAGTACATCACTGGGGTCCGCCACAAGTGCCTCGACTGTCCCGACTGGGACTACTGCTCCGAGTGTGCCGAGAATGCTCATTTTGTGCATCCAAATCACCGATTCGCAGCCATCTATGAACCTCTTGCGGACACTCATACCTCTGTCATCTCCCAGCCTATGCACATGGGCATCTGCTGTGATGGCCCCCTGTGCAGTGCCTCCCATGCCGTGACCTCGTACATTCGGGGCATCCGTTACAAGTGTGCCGTGTGCCACGATCTTGATTTCTGTGCCAACTGCGAGGCCAGCCCTGCCAATAACCACAACAAGACACACCCACTGATCAAATTCAAGACTCCCGTTCGTCATGTCAGTGTCACCACAACTGGTGAGCATCAGGACGGCAAGCGCATGCCTGCCATGGGCGACCGATGCAGTAGCCCCATCTCCAAGGCTACCGAGGCCGTGGACTCTTCAGCCACCAACAGCGTCAATGCCGTGCGAACCGTCGTCGATGTCAAGCCGGTTGACTGCACAGCCATCGAGGTCAAGCCCACCGCAGCAGCTATCCCACCTCCTGTCCCCGCCAAGAAGCCAACTGCCGAACCCGAGCTCGAGCCGGCCGAGCCCGTTGCAGCTGCACCGGCTGCTGCGCCCTTGATCAAGGAGGAGGAGCTTCGAGCCGTGTTCCTTCGTGATGCTGTGGCAGATGGTACCATCTTCCCCCCCAACCATGTCTTTGAACAGACTTGGGTCCTTCGAAACGAAGGCCAGACTCCTTGGCCCGCCGGCTGCTGCCTCAAGTATGTTGGCGGTGACTACATGGGCCACGTTGACTCTTCTCATCCGGCTGGTATTTCCGAACTCGTCTCTGCCTCCGAGTCTACCATCTGCTATGCTCCTCTTGCCCCCGGACAAGAATGCTCATTCACCGCTCTGCTCCGCACACCGGTTCACTCGGGTAAGATGATCTCATATTGGCGCCTCACAACCCCTGACGGCATGAGATTCGGACACCGTTTGTGGTGCGAGGTCAATGTTCGAGCGGCTACCCCCCCCGAAGTCAAACCGCCGACTCTGTCGTCCACGAGTTCAGTCAAGGCCAAGTCAGCCGACGAGCCCAGCCAATCCAGCAGCGTCATGATCTTCCCCAAGCTCGAGAAGGAGTCGCCGAGCGCCAGCGTCCACGAGGACGCCAAGACGGAGACCTCTACCACTTCCCCTGAGGAGGGTCACGAAGAGTGTGAACAAGATGACGAGTGGGATGCTCCCGAGGATGGCTTCATGACGGATGAAGAATACGACATTTTGGATGCTTCAGACGAGGAGTTTCTGGAAGAACAGGAGAAGAAGGTGTTGAGGAAGTAAGTGTGCGCCTATACCACTTCGTGAAGACCAGCAGCGTGGCCGCCGATGGGGATGTGTGCTGTTGTCTGTGTGTTGTTATATTACCAGCTGAACTGTTGCTTTTCCTTGTATTGCTTTTGTCTTCTCCATCAACGGGTTTGAGGCCAAGTCCATGTTACGCAGCCCACGGTTCTGCTGGCAAAGACGCTTCATCAATCCAAGCCGAGTCGGAAGCACAGAACACGAGATGGGGAGAGAACATCATTCGTTTAATTATCTAGGTCACCAGATAGGATTTCAAGTCGACCTCTTGGTATTGCTGAGACTTGAAGAAAAGCGTGCCTGATGTGTGCATTTGTGGTTATTGTCTCCTGAAGTCGCGGCCAAGACAGGTCTCGTGATGTTGAAGCATACGTGCACACGTGCACAGAGTGCAGGCTATACCAAGCAGGGCAGTGAGTGGTAAGTAGCCAGAGATACAAGGTTGCCTGGACAAGTTTGACGCCTTGAATTCGAGGCAGCGATTCTGAAGCTGCAACGGCCTCCAAATTGCCACCGCCCTGGTCGGTCGCGCGACGGACTGAACTGTGTACGGAGGACGGAGTGGTAGTATGAAGTATGTAGTACTCGATTCCCGCAGCGGGCGGGCCGGGGACGAACCAGTGTGGGCCCGACTTGGAAAAGTCGCGGCCAACCACAGCGGCCGGTGACCCCTTCCCATTGGTGGTGCAGACTTTCCAGGCTTCTGGGTGGTGGTTTCCGAGCGCAGTGGCCTTGGTGACGGCCCAGGCGCAACCACCAGGGAGGGGGGGCGGAAAAAAAATTAAAAATATTGGCACCTGGTCGACGACTCCGTACCCGCTCACTTCTTACTCGCTCTCTCCATCTCCATCTCCATCCGCATCCCGCAACCCGTAAAAACCAACACGGCGCCTCTTGGCCTGCGAACAGATGCGACTACTCCGTACTTCTCGCGCATCTGCATCCATCCTTATTCGCAGCGACCATTGTCCATCATCTCTCTAGGTTGCAGCGCGCTTTGCAAACCTGGTAGAGCCGCTCGCTGGTCTGGTCGCTCTGCTATTCTGGGCAGATTCTTTCAAGTTCCCGACCTTCTCTTTCACAGGTACTCCTACTCTTCGGCCGCGGGGAAAAAAAAAAAAAGTTTCACGAGCCTCCGACACGGCCCCAAACCGAATCCCGGGCTCCACTTTACATCTCAACCTGACGACGACTTGGGACGATCCCCTTGGTGTCCTTTCTCTCCTTCCTCTCAATCTTCATTTCCATCACCTCCCTTTCATCACACCATCCCCCTCCCCTTTGTTTCCATTCTCGCAGCACGCTCTCTCGACCCTCGGCACTGTTTTCCTCTCTTTCCTCAGTTCCATCCTCTCCTTGCCACCAGAGAGAATGGTCACGTTCTCTATCCCCGGCGACGACGTCGTCGATTCCACTACCAATGGCACCCCGAGATCTCGAGCGCCGCTTCCCTTCGCAAAGCGCGCGCATGCTGCTTCATCGCCTTTTAACAGTTCTTCGGTGAAGCGCTTGGGCACACCTCTTGCTTCATCAGCTAGGAAGCTGTTGACGACCCGCGATGACGCCCCGGCCAGCGGCCTCAATCAAAGCTCCATTGCCACAGCACGAAACATCTTTCGAGCATCCACCATCACCGATAGTCCTCCCACGTCCTCATTCTCTCCGAGCATTCCCAATAGCACGATGAAGAAGGTCTTTGCTCCCGGCGCTACCCCAGAGCCGTCGCGTGTCTACCGCAACTCCATGGCGCAAGCCACCCCTCGCGGCATGGCAGCCAAGACCACAAATAAGGAGCTGTTCCCCATGCGCATTGCCTCACCCCCGCCAGAGTTGACGGGCGAGGTATTGACGCAAAAGGTTCCCAAGGATTGGAACGCCAAGGGTTCCATCTACGCGGATCAGTTCCTGGCACACCTTTGTCCTCCCGAGCTTGACGAAGAACAGCGTCGCCAATTCTTTTGTGTCCTCGACCTGAGGCGGCTGAAATATGCTGCCAACGAGATTTTTGCCAGAAAAGACTGGAAGTTGAACGTCATCAACTTCGCAAAGGAGTTTGAAAAGAGCCGAAGCATCATTCTTCTTCGATATGGCTTGTACGAATTCCAAAACGTGAAGCCATCCAAGGATGTTTTAAAGAGGTGGCGCCGTGAGCATGGGCTGCCGGAGCCTGATGATGAAGAATCCGAGACGACCCCTTCCAAACCCGTCGCATCCAAGAAGCGAAAGGCTGCCGAGGATTATTCAGAAGCGCCGGCCTCGAAGGGCAAGCGCCGAGCTGTTGGCGACGAGTCCGAACCCGTCGCAGCCCGCGTTACGACCACCGCCTCGACTCCTTCCGTCGGCAAGAACAAGAGGAAGGCTTCCGTGAGCGAGGAACAACCCTCCAAGATGCACAAGTCGACACCGTCGTCTGCCAAGTTCCTGTTGGAGAAGATTGCCAATAACAACACCAAACCTGCTGAAGGACCAGCTCCCGCACCGGCCTCCAAGCCGAACCCCTTTGGCACCAACAAACCAGCAGCAGGCAGCAACTTGGCTCGCTCTGTCCTCACCAATCTGAAGCCCTCCGGTACCCAGACTGGCCACGGAGGCGCTGGAGGCAACATTTTTAGCTACCTGTCCGACGCCAGCTCTGCTAAAAACAGCGGCATCGATGCTGATGCCGAGAGCGAATCAGATTCTGAACGGGACGAAGGCCAAGGGGCTGCTCACAGTGACGAGCCTAGTGTTGCCGCTAGCGGTGCTGGAGATGCTGGATCGCAGGGCGGAGCCAGCTTGTTCGATCGGGTGACCATGGGAAGCGATGGCCAGCCCGTCCGTGTCGAGGAGAAGATCGAGGCTTCCGAACCTGAACCAGAGTCGGAGGTGGTCTCTGAAGCGGTCTCTGAGCCAGCCTCAGAGAGGTCGACCGTTGCAGACCAGACTTGGAATCCATCAACCACACCCATCAAATTCGCGCCATCCTCTACCCCCGCTGCCACTGGTTTTCTTTCTGGCCTTTCGGGTGCTAATTTCGCAAGTTCCATTTTTGCTCCCAAGGCGACTGCGACGTCTCATCCTTCTACTACCGCCAAGAACGATCAGCCAGCTGCCATGGCGCCGTCGGCGGGAGCCAACGGGAGCCAGGGCGGTCAGGATGGTGGCGAGTCTGACAAGGAGAACGAGTCACGACCACCCAACGAGAGCCTCTTTGACATCAAGCCCGCAACAACAGTATCATCGCCTTTTGGCTCGTCACTCCAGCCCAAGCCAGCCACAGCCGAAGCAACAAAGGCTGTTGAAGCCACTAGCCCGGCCTCCAGTCTTGTTGCCGCCAAGCCTGATATAGCCAAGTCTGCAGAGACGACAACAACCGGCACGTCCAATCTGCTTGGCCAGGCCGGCAAAGCTGCCGGTTCGACTTCATCTACTCTGTTTGGAGCCAATCCCCCTGAGCCTGGGAAAGTCACGACCGCCGAAGCCCCAAAGCCCGCAGCCACCCTGTTTGGCACTGCTTCTTCTTTTGCAGCCGCGCCCACGACTGGCAATGCCGGAGGCATCTTGGGATCCAAGCCTGCCAGCACTTCGGGCAGCATTTTTGGAAGTGGTGCCCCAGTGTCTTCCACTACGCACCCGCAGCAGCCACTTCTGCTTGGAGCCGCGTCCGGAGCTGCGACTGACTCAACCGCGGCCAAGACAGATGCACCAAAGCCAATTTTCAATTTTGGTGGCAGCAACGCCGCGGCTCCATCTGCGACTGCGCCCAAGCCTCAGTTTGGTCTGGCGAAGTCACCTCCCTCTGGAGTCTCGGCAAACAATATGTTTGGCAGCCCCATGAAACAGGATGACCCGTCTCCTGCCAAAAAGGAGGCTGATGGTGGTGACGCAGGCGGGAGCTCAACCCCTCTGTTCAACTTTGGTGCAGCCAGCCAACGGCCAGCTTCTACGTCCAACGTCTTTGCGGCGTCATCAGCACCTACGCAAAGCAGCGGCACTGCCACCGCCGGCGCCATCTTTGGTGGTGTACCGTCAAACACTGGCTCCGCCTTTGGGTCCAGTTTCGGCGCAGGCAGCTTCAGCGCCAACTTTGGCGGCGCAAGCACCGACGGGGCATCCAAGGGCGGCTTCAACAACCCCTTTTCCTCGGAAGGCGGCAACGGTGCGACGACGACGGCTGCTGCGCCTGGTTCCGGGGCTACCTTCTCCTTTGGCGCCACACCTGCGCCGACGGCAACGTCTTCGCCTTTTCTGTTCGGCGGCAGCAGCGGCAACGCACCCGCGCCACCTGGCACCGGCGGCCTTGTATTCGGAGCAAACCAGGGTACCAACACGTCAGCTCCCATATTTGGTGGCGCCTCGGGATCGGGCAGCGCCCCCTTCAACTTCTCGGCTGGAGGCGCCGCGCCACAGGGGACTGGTTCCGCGTTTGGTTCCAACCAAGCTGTCCCGGCCTTCAACCTCCAGCCGCCAGCTGGTGGATCTACAACCACCGGGACCAGTAAGTCTCCTTTTCCGAACCGGAAAATAGCGCCGCTAAAGCGACGGATGTAGACTCTCCCTTGAACTTCGGGGGCGGCTCCAGCTTGGCCACCACGCCGGCCGCTGGGACTCCGGAGCCTTTGATGCAAGCAGACACGGCCAAAGACGGCGAAGCGAAGGAAGAAGATGGTGAGAAACACGAGCAGATTGACCTCTTGGGCGGCGTCAGCGACGAGGAAGAAGTACGTCATGAAGTTCGAGCCAAGGTTCTCAAGTTTGTTCCGGCGTCGGAGAGGTTGGACGAGGACAAACCCAAGTCGAAGAGCCCTTGGTCTACGCAGGGAGTAGGACAACTCCGGCTTCTGCAGCACCGGGACACGAAGCTTGTCCGACTGCTCTTGCGCGCCGAACCGCGCGGCCACGTGGCTCTCAACCGTGCATTGCTGCCAAACTTGACATACAAGGCAGACGAAAAGTACGTCAAATTGACAACGTCGAACGAAAAGGGGGACGGGTTGGAGACGTGGATGATTCAGGTCAAGACAAAAGATCTTGCCAAGGAACTAGCAGAGTCAATGGAGAAGAACAAGGAAGCCAACAAGAAGTGACAAAACCAGTGGAATTAGTACGGTGGAAGGACCGACGATATCGAGCATGGGAAAGGCGCATGTTCCACTTTGCCAGTTGGATTGGCAACAGAGACAGGTAAGGTATCACGAGCATCAAAAACAACGGCGTTGCTAGAGCATTACAGTTGCAATTGTTTTGGAAGTTGCCAAAGATTAAGCATGTGCTGTTGGGAGTGTATATTTTCTGTAAAATGGAAACCTGTATTTCATTTCGTTTATGCATATATACCGTATGTACGTGCCCGTGGTAACTACCTACCTTAGGTAGGTACCAATAAGCGGTGAAAAGGGCCCGGGGGTTGGGTGTGTGGGCCATCCATGTGCGACTATGAATGCATAACGCAATGCACAACGCGCAATGCACACATACATAATTTGTTCGTTGCGCGACGTCCTCCCACCCGTCAGTCGCGTCGTCGCGTCGTGGGGGTTCGAGGCAACGGCAACTTTCTTTGAGCTCGCAGCGTCCCTTGCAGCCAGCCACGATGCCACGGTTCGTTTCTCCCGACCACCTGGAGGACCGGCCGGTGGTTGCGGGCTCCAAGCTAACTCGCGCAGGGAGATTATTACCATCCAGGCCGGACAGTGCGGCAACAGCAGTAAGCATTCTTTGGCCCTCCCCACCCCCTCCGCCTTCTCCCTCTCCCACAAGGCGGGATGCCCGAGGCGATTGCTGACTGCTGGGCCTCGTTCTTCTTCTTTTCTCCTTCCTTGTCACAGTCGGCAGCCAGTTCTGGCAACAGCTGTGTCTGGAGCATGGCATCAGCCAGGACGGCAACTTGGAGGATTTCGCGACCGAGGGGGGCGACCGCAAGGATGTGTTTTACTACCAGAGCGACGATACGAGGTATATCCCGCGGGCGATTCTGATTGATCTTGAGCCACGGGTATGTTTTGGTTTTTAAAAGGGGAAGGGGGGGAAGGGGGGCAGACTTGTCTGGCAGCTTGTCCATTCCCTCGCCGACTTGCGAGCGCAGCGAGAAGTCTTCCATCCCCCCTCGGCCCGCGAGCGCAGCCAAGAGTCTAAAACAACACCCGCAGGTCATCAACGGCATCCAAACCGGGCCCTACAAAAACATCTACAACCCGGAAAACTTCTACGTCGGCAAAAACGGCATGGGCGCCGCCAACAACTGGGGCGACGGCTACCAGTCCGGCGAGGCCGTCTGCGAGGACATCATGGAGATGATTGACCGCGAGGCCGACGGCAGCGATTCCCTCGAGGGCTTCATGATGCTGCACTCGATTGCGGGCGGCACCGGCTCCGGACTGGGCAGCTTCCTGCTGGAGCGGCTCAACGACCGCTTCCCCAAGAAGATTGTCCAGACGTACTCGGTGTTCCCGGACACGACGAACTCGGGCGACGTGGTGGTGCACCCGTACAACAGCATCCTGTCGATGAGGCGGCTGACGCAGAATGCGGACTCGGTGGTGGTGCTGGACAACGGCGCGCTGTCGCATATTGCGGCTGACAGGCTGCATGTTCAGGAGCCGAGCTTTGGGCAGACGAACCAGCTGGTATGTTGGATGATTTTTTTTAAATTTTTTCAAATTCTTTTTTCTTTCTGGCATGTGCTGCGTGTCGAGCTGGCTCTGTCAGCAGGGGAGATGCTCGACATTGTGTCCTCGCATTGCGCCGTGTGGCCTGCCTGAGAGGACGTAATGAATCAACACATTGTGGAGGGAGGCCAGAGCGTTGCTGACATCGACAGGTCGCCACCGTCATGTCCGCCAGCACCACGACTCTCCGATACCCGGGCTACATGCACAACGACCTCGTCAGCATCCTCGCGTCCCTCATCCCGACGCCGAGATGCCACTTCCTCATGACGGCCTACACCCCCTTCACGGGCGACCAGGTCGAACAGGCCAAGACTGTGCGGAAAACCACCGTCCTCGACGTCATGCGCCGGCTCCTCCAGCCCAAGAACCGCATGGTCTCTACCGTCCCCGGCAAGAAGAGCTGCTACATTTCCATCCTGAACGTGATCCAGGGCGAGGTCGACCCCACGGACGTCCACAAGAGCCTCCTGCGCATTCGGGAGCGTAGACTGGCGACGTTTATTCCTTGGGGCCCCGCGAGCATCCAGGTCGCCCTGACCAAGAGAAGTCCCTACATTCCCATGAGCCACAGGGTCAGTGGGCTCATGCTTGCCAATCACACCAGCATTGCAACTGTATGTTCCTCGCGCGCACGCCAGCGGTTGTGATTTGTCTTTTTCGACGTGCCGTGTTAACAGTCAGGGTAGTTGTTTAAACGCATCGTAAAGCAGTACGACGGCATGCGCAAGCGCAACGCCTTCATGGAAGGATACAAGAAGACGGCTCCGTTTGCGGAAAACCTCGACGAGTTTGACGAGGCGAGGGAGGTTGTGGCTGATTTGATTGCCGAGTATGAAGCTGCCGAGGATGCGGACTACTTGAGTCCTGATAATGGGGAGAAGGCGACTTCTGCGGAGACGGACAGGAGGATGATGGGGTGAGTGGGATACTGGGGGTTTGTTTGTCATTTGCGGAGGTATCGGTCTGGCGTTTGGGTCGCGTTAATATCCTGCTAGGCATGCATACGATGAGGTCACGATGGATTGATGGTTGAACATGGCCAATGTCTTGTGTTCAAGTCCCGATTTGTGGCAATGTTTTGTTGCTCTGGCTACTCTACGTTTTTCCTACCAACACAAAACAAAACTTGGTGGGTGCTCGAAAAGTAGTGCCATACCCAAGACCTAAGCCTGAGTGCGCCCTTGCGCGCAAAATTTAGCCTCTGTTCGGGCTTGGCAGCAAGTGGAGGCATCTGCAGTCAATTCGCAAAACATGTTGTAACCTATGTATCCTGGGGCTTGGTAATATCGCAAAGTGTGGGCTGAACACTCGGGAAAGGAAAAGCGGTTTTAAATTCAACTTGACTTGTGATGGGTCCGCCACACGCAGGTTGAATCAGTTGGATCGTCGTCGGAACGAAGCGGCTTACTCGTAGTCAACGTTGACGGATCCCATGGTTTGGCCATCGACTTCAAGGGAAAATGTCATTACTGCGGACTCGATCGAGACGACAAGGTGGAAGTGCACTTCGTAGCTACGGATTCCACGTTAGTAAAATGGCGAGACTTGGAAATGCGCATAAATTGAGTGTTCGGCGTACTAGGTCAGCCCAGCCAGATCTAAAGGCGGCATGGAACCCGTCAGTAGAGCTCAGTCATGGATAGAATGAGCAGTTAGGCACGGAGCATAACAAACCTATTTTTCGGACAAGATGAGATTTCGGCACGCTGGTAAGGTCAGATCGCACCGAGCAATTTGCCCGCATTTTTTTTGGGCAGGGATAGATAGGGGCCAAACTAGAATCATTCGTTAGCGGAAATGTTGGCTTAGAACGGATGGATCAAGGCATACCTATCGTGGCATTCGTAAAGTTTGTCACAGAAAATAAGGTCGACGTCTGTGTAATCACTTTCGAGGGTTCTAAAAAAAGGAAACTTGATTTTTTGGTCGCGCTGGATATCATCTCCTTTGCTTATGAACCAAGTCATCTTTTGACGTCAAGATTAGATGAGCCACCAAGGCACCGATAGGACAAAGATCAAATGACTTACTTTTGCTACATTTATTGATCCGTCTCGCCAGACTTCTGTCAACTGTCCCGCGTCTTGAACTGGACAGTACCAATGTAGCGCCTCAGTCCCGTAGTGCTTGGTTGCCGAGGTACTCACTACGGTAGCCTGATGAGGGAGCTTGGAGAGCACAGCACCTCTTTAATAGAGCCATTAGTTGCCTCGTTACGACCTCTGGACTCGGCATAACACTCACTTCACGATGGCAGCCCATGCGTCTTGCGGCTGGAGTACCTGAATGTCTGGGAAACGGCTTTGGGCGCGCTGCATGAGGTAATTGCTGCTGCCGAAACCACCAACTAGCATGATTCCCTATTTCCAGTTAACTTCATCTTTGATATGGAGCTGACTGACCTACCGAAAGACCTGTACTAAGACGCTTGAGCTTCGCTGCCAGCACCTGGAGCTCGATGAGCCTCAAGACGTCTTCTATAAGGGGGTCAAAAATCCGAGTGAGATCATTTCTACAATATAAAGGTCAACATGAACTCAATATCAGAAGACACGAGACATTCATTACCCTGTCATCCTCCAGGTGTTGGACACCAGGCCACTTTTGGATCGTCTTCAAGGTCAGCCATAGGGAAGTTGACGAAATATTCTTCGTCGGGCTCGCCTCTGAAGGCTCTCTTGACCTCTTGGTCAAATTGTCTCTGAGCAATGACCCAGGCCTTGCTTTTCTTCAGAGGGAACCACTGCTCGTCACCAACAAGATTTTGCACTGCTTGCGCAAAGCGCCGGTTCAGGCCAAGGGATCCAGCCATACCTCCTACAGCAATGTGAGCTGATGTCTACGAGGACTCACAACAACGAAACTTACCCGTGCCTGGAACTAGCTCCTTGACCTGCAGATTCGGTACGAGCTGGTGCACCTCGTATGTGATGAGGTCGACGGTTCCACCGCCAGCATCGCAAACGACAAAGGCGTCGCCCTTTTTGATGGAAAAGTCCAGTGCCTTGACAGTATGTAAGGCAGCCGCCTCAGGCTCTTTGATGAGCGTAACTGGGTGAATGCCAGCTTCTTTTGCAGCCTAATCCGGAATAATTAACATCTGCCATCGCAGCACATGGTTCGGAGGACACCCGTCTTACTAGTAGCGTGGCGTTTTTGGCAGCATCAGACCAAACAGCTGGGACTGTCGAGGGGCAGGGGTCAGAATCAGAACATTTGCTTCCGAAAAAGGGCTGCGCTTACCAGACAGGACAAATTCTTTGGAGCATAGCTCCATGTATGCCTTGGGCACGGTCTTGGAAATTTCAGCCAAAGCGTGGCTGTATATGGCTCCGATAAAATCTGCAGCAATTTTGACAGGTGGTTTCGGAAGCATTCTGATGTATTTTCTAGCATTCGTGGCAGGTAGGTACATTGGTCTCCCCTGTTCGGGGTCGAGGAGAAGCTTGATGCCAACGATGCTAGGGTCGGCGGCGTCAACAGATGCTCCCCATTTGAAAACATCCGGCCGTTGCTTGTCATATGCAATGACAGTGGGAATCTTCGGTACAGATATCCCGCGATGTCCTGCGGATTCAATGGGCAAGCGTCAGAATTGAAGTTGATGTCCAAGTTCTCCAAGGGCTTTTACCTGACCAATCCATGATGGCCGCTGGCTTTGCGTCGTACTGGTTCGCAAAACAAAATGCAACACCAGAGTACGTGGTTCCAAAATCCAGAGCAATTACCAGTTTCTCGCTCGACTCAGACTCCTCAGTGCGGGGCGGACGCTCAACCCGACGCTTTTTCGCCATGGTCGATAGTATGGCGGGCTTTCCAATAGAGTTGTTGAGGTTGACTGGGTCCGAAGTACGATTGTCGTGGTTACGTGGTAGCCGCGATGGAGAGACTCTTTGCGATAGATATTTTAGGAGAAGAGCATCCAGGAAAAGCAAGTATTTCAACGGATGATGCACCACAAAGCATCGACCTGCGGCAGTGAAGCAGGCCAACAGCTGGTTGACAGGTGACTGACACATGGCAAACAGCTGGCGAAAAAAAATTATTGCAAGTGAGCAACTTTGACTTGGCGGCTGCCAAGCGCCGAACTCCGAACTCCAAACGCCATGAAGATCGCATGATGCGTTGAATCTTGACCTGAATCTAAGAACAACCTGAGCGGCCTCTGAGTTGTCTCATGTCCGCTGTTTGCATTCGCGTCGTCGCCCTAGAGGTCCTCGATTGTGAGAATAAGTTGTCCAGTCTTACCTCTCCGTTACTCTAAAGCAAAGGTAGTCCAGCTCTTCTCCTTCCTGTTCTCCTTCCTCTTCTCCTTCCTCTTCCCCTTCCTCTTCTTCTTTTTCAAAAAAAGAGAAAACGACCGTCATGGATGCTCAGAGTGAGCTTTCAGGGGAAGATCTCGTCCTCGACACCGTTGCGGAGGCGAGACACCAACACTGCCGTCCTAGTACTGAGTCTGCAAATTCGTCCTTGATAAGCCTTGGGGGGGGGGGGTAATGGATTCAATTATTAGCCGGATTCTTCACTGGTTTGGAAATCATGAAGCTTCTCAGACAGTATGTGTCCATGAACCATGTCCACCAGCTTGCTCGGGAAAACAAGCTAATAAAGCTCACAGGGCATTGATCGTTTGAAAGAAGAACGACGCAAATTTGAATTGCGATCTAAAACACTCCAAGTACAGCTGCACGATTGCGTTGAAGCTCTCAAAGCCCAACGCACTGAGCTTCAGGGGCTGCGAGAGATGTATGGTGACAGCCAGGCTGAGATTGAAAAACTCAAGAAAGAGAAGAACAAGCTGAGAAAAATTATTCTTGATCAAACGGGATCAGAGAGAGTCTCGGATGATGAAATAAAGAAAACATTTACCAACATCCGACAGAAAATCCAAGCAATCGCTCACTCCAAAGCCCTTGATATGGACGTGTCCGTATCTGTCAGATCGCCGCGCCACCCCGAGGTGCATAACCTCTGGTATATCTGGAATGATCTTTCTCTTGCTGATCGTGGTTTCGTATTGAGGGGGCAAATATTCAGCTGCATTGTTGATCGTATTCTTGAGCAGAAGCTCTTCGGCATCATACCAACGCATCATCATGTCCTTCAGGAAATCGAGTATTCACTGGGAGAACTTGAAGAATACATGAGCTTCTCTCAAGGTTGGTTTCATTTGTTTCAAAGTCTACGTGATGAGCTGTAGCTAAAAGAATTTCTTAGTTCCGGCTGAAGCCATTGTGGATTGGAGACATGCCACGATGAAAGCAATCGACCAGACCAAGATCGAGCATGATTACATTGGCGGAGTCGAGTCTGCGATTATGAGCTTTCTCAGTTGCCTCATCCGAGAACAAGCGAAGAACTCTGCACCGTTTGACAAGCTGCAGCGTGATATTCATGATGTGTGCAAGGACGCGTATCAACTAGGCTTTCTCATGCGCAAGTCCAAGGATCATTACACCTGTGAAATGTTTAGCCAGGAGAACAATGTCCGTGAAAATGAAACAGCCTTGGAAGTCCATGGAGTTTTGCACGGGGGCCGTGAATCCAGCTCCGTGGCATTGACAATTTGCGGAGCATTGATCAAAAGGCCTTGGAATGACGACATGGAACCTGTTGTGCTAGAGCCTGCGCATGTCCTTGTCGAAAGTGTTTAAGCTGCAACTCGACAATATGTTTTCCCTTTATCTTGCTGTTAACAAGTCTTGCAGGTTGCGTTTCATTTTGCTCCATTCTTTGTTTTTTTCCAAAGCAACGGCCGTTCGACAATAGGTGCTGGTATCTACTATCCACCATTACAAACTCTCGACTGCTTAAGCTAGGCCGGTCGGGAGACCTCGCTGTATGGGGAAAGCATAGTCTCCCAAGAGCACACCGGAAAACCAGTTTTTCCTTTTTTTTGTATTTAGTGAAGTGAAAATACCAACTCTTCGATCGTCGACAGCAAGAATGATGTACCTGTGTATCAAGACGAAATCTCGCTGACGGAGTAGCTTAGCATTGTCGCTCCATGGGTATCGGGGCACTGCTTCTACGGGAATTCCCTCATATCCTATCAAGTGAAGCATCTGCGAATCCGCAGCCTATCATTGTCTCGGCAGCTTTGAACCGCTTCTCGCTCCGTAACTAACAATGACACAGAATATCGACGATCCCGGCCAAGTGAGCACACAGGAAGCAGGCTCCTGATCTTGACTCGAACCACAAAACTCCAAGCTTCTCACGCACGGATTCTGCGGCAAGGTCTAGCTGTAAACCGAGGATCAACTATTCCAAACGTCTGTCTCGCACACTACACGTCTCGACAGCTGCCACCGTGAAAGGCTCTCGGCAACGAACGATCCATTTGAGTTGCCAGAGTCTCCAGGCACACACCACGGCATCGAGACATGCCCGCCACAAGGGTCTGAAACTCGTGTGCTAGATCTCAGCACACACCTCACACCAAGAAACCCCAATATCTCTGTCAGCGGCAGATACTGCCTACTAGAAAAAACACCTATAAAAACAAGGGAAACAACTGCAGCACACAAATTGCCTATAAGGAACGTTTGCATACATTTTATATATAAGGATTTAATATACTTTACGCTTATATTTCTTTGTATATATAAATAAAGTTAAAAGAGAAATACTAGCTAGAATTTAATAAAAAGACTAATAAGCTATAAAGGCTAATTTACTTTATAAAAGAAAATAGCTATAAAAGTTATTTTAAGCTACTAAAGCTACTATATTTACTTAATTTAGCAGCTTTACTATAGAATTTACTTATAAATAACTCTTCTTCTCTCTTTAACTAGATAAAGAGAAAATTAAGCCTTTATAACTATACTCTTTAATATATACTATTATATATAATTTTATATTATATTTAAAGTTACTTTTATTATACCTTAAAAATCTCTATTATTTTATACTTAGTAATTAACTAAATTATATAA